TGCCCCCGACACTGCTCTCGTTTTTAGAAATACGCTCTTTGAAATCTAACAGCAAAGAGAGAGAAAACTCGTTTATTCATCAGCGACTTGTTGTGAAGAGAGTCGACAAAAAAACCAGTAAGGACAATGCTTTTTTCGACAATGACTTTTTTCCAGAAATTATTCCATTGCGGACGTCCGAACCGAAGCAAGTGATTCGATTTTTCTTTTATTTTGAACATTCATCTGGGACAGTAACCGTATCCAATCGTGCGTGAGTAAGAAGAGCAAACTCGTCATGGTCGCAATGCGTTTTTCAAAAGTGCCATCCATGTCAGCATCCGCTCGGACACAATTGTGTGCGTTTTAGGATTTTGTCGGGGTTCACGACGATCTGGATTCGCTGTCATGTGAAATAAGCCTCCAGTCTAATAGGCGTGGAAGTTTCGCTCTACATAAATGATTTTCCAGGCGCAAAAGGCGGGCAAACATCGTGGATCGGAACTTACCAAGGTGCTTTTTATCTGCGAAACTTATTTCATATGAGCAAACAATCCGAAGAAGATCTGTAATGTAAGGTAACCGAGTACAAGCTTTTATAACAATTATATCCAACAACAACTGGAATTCTGCAACGTCCGTTAGTACCGTCAAAAGCAGTGGAAAATTGGTCCGAAAATGCCAGGTATCTAAGCACTGGAAAATGTGGCGATGGCGAGCTGCTTCAGCAAAGTGTTTCGTTTCAGCCAATTGTGCGAAATATTCATTAAACGAGTGATTTCCAAGAATCACATTTCCCCGACAATGAAGAGACCTTCAAGAAGCAGTCTTGAGTCGTTCGGATTCAATGGGGATCTTGTGGATTGTGGCAGTTAGTCGACAAGAACCCCATTGGCCTGTAAGGGGATGTTCAGCAGAACGGGTATCGGGATCAAGTGCTAGGCGCAAAGCAACTTGCTGACCGTCTGCAGGCAGGAACTGACCTTCCACCAAGTCCTCAGTAAGCTGAATTCGGCACCAAGCTGCTGGGCCAAAGGAATACCCGTCAATAGATCAATGGGGATCTTGTGGATTTTGGAATTGATTTGGTCTCGATGTAGAGATCAATTTAATTTTCCGAATCGACTAGGAACCCAGGGTTATCTAATGGCGTGACTACGGCGTCGGGAACTTCAACGAAGATCAATCAGCAGGACTTTCGAGATCACAATGTGAAGCGAACCGGCGAAGAACGAAGACCAGGCGGGTGAATAAGAAGCAGCCAGAAGATGCAACAGCACGCAGGCACCAGGTGGGAATGGGCGCAAAATTCCGAAGACCTCGACAACACATGGGGAAGTACCAGAACGGGACTAGTGGAACAACCGGATGGATGGAAGATATTCAGTCAGACGGATGAAGAAAGAAAAAACAATGCTTTATGGAAACGGGATGGTTCTGTGGACACGCTCGGGTCTGGAGACTCGAAGACATGGTTTGGGCGACGGCTACCAGATGAATGTGCAGCTTGAATGAAGACTACCGGATGGATCAGACGGAAAACAGCATCGACGAGAAGAATTCCTTTGAAGAATACCGCAAGGCAGGTGAACGGGCTCCAGGAAGCTGCAATGGGACATATTTTGGGCGCAGATTTGACCTCGCCGGACTATCCACTCTTCAAGTCTCCAAAACTCCAAGGGGAAGAAACTTGAGCCAGCCAGCCAGCCAGCCAGCCAGCCAGAAGAAAATGGGACTGAACAACTTGGCCGCTCTTCAAAAAGCCCTTTTTGGCAAACCAAAGCAGGTGAGGCTAGTTGTATTACTTTTTTTCGTGTTGCTACGCTACTTTCTTTCCATTACACGCAGCAGCTTTCTCTTCATTATGATGAATGTCATGCACCACTCTGATTTCATTTGAAGTCACAAAAGACTCACACTAACTGACCTCATTATGACACTCTCATCACGTGCAAATATTGCTTAACTGAGAGTAATTGGAATTTCTTGTTACAGGCGCTAACTTGATGCCGATGGAAATACGAGGATGACCACAATTAGAAGAATGGAAGATTAAGAACTTGGGGAAAACGCGCAGCTTGGTCAGGAGGGCGAGACTAAACTCGTATCGCCTGCATGGTAAAATAAAGCAATCCCAGACGTCTGGTTGGAGTGCCATTTCATAGTGCTTGAGGATTCGATCAAAGCAGTGCAAGACGGGCGTTCATCGCAATGTGGAATGCGTACTTCCTGATACTGACTGGGATTATTTATTAGATTGTGCAAGATACAAGTACGGAACTGTCACCTCTTTCAACGGGAACCCACAGCAGGTGTGTTTCACAATTATTCATTTGGTTTTTGTGCAATTTTTAATGATGAATGTCATGCACCACTCTGAATTGGCGTTGCGGTTACCGAAGACTCACCTATTACTGAAAAAAAAATTGCACGATTACGTGCAGCATGAAACGTTTAAAAGTAGTAAAAAATAACGCAATTTTTTCTTTTTCAGATCGCATCAATCAGCAAACCGTTCTCGTCCAGCTATATTTTACATTGTTCAAGAAGACATCGATGGTTTTTGGATGTTTTATATTACTATTCAATCAATGGTTGGAATTAAATATTGTTGCGTTTAAATTTGTGTTTATGAATATATCTATCACTTAACACTTGTTTTTTTTTTATTAATTTTTCTTGTGTTCAGTGTCTGTTAATCAAACACATTAATGCAGAGAGTCCATTCATAAAACCTTATTTCAGTGACATTTGCTAGCCGTTTATTGAAAGCGAACAAACCGCAATTCCTTTTGTGTACTTTGTAACTACATAAAGGTAACGCTATACTCCTGCTCCTGACATTTGCTCGCAATCTCCTTCCAACATTCTGCTCTCCTGATGCAAATCGAAACTTTCGTGTGCTTGCAAATTTCACCAATAGAGAGCATCTGCATCGACAAGATAATAGCGTAACGC